AGCTTACAGGCGGCCTCTATTGTCTTGCAAAAGGCACCCGAACTCGGCTCACACTCGAAGCACAGGGCCTCGAAGTGGTTGTCATCGATTTGCATTATGAAGCCACAGGTCTTCACGTTATCGCTTCCAATCCCTAAGAATGACAAATACCTGCCCAAGAGATAGCTGTTGATTAATATTGAACAATAACTACGAAAGCATCGGTAGCACAGACCTGACTCTACATTCAGTGAGACATTGAGCCGTTTCTTTGCACTCAATAGTTATATTCGACGGCGAGATGTGAACCAAGACCTGGATATTAAAGACTTCAACTGAAGAGTCATTGTTTTCATTGTAAAGAATGGTTTCAATGGCTTTATTCAAGACATCGATTCCCATGGGTTTGGGAACTTTGGTTTTTCCCAAATATTTGGCTGCAATTGTCTTTCGTGGCTCTTCTATAGGCGTCGGGAACTCAATGGCTGTGGGCGTCGCTAAGTTGACCGGACTTTTGCTGCTCTCGTAAATGAACAGATTCTTCGGCCGCTGTGGAGGTGATCCCCAACGCGAGCCCTCGATGTCAGACTTGAAGCGAATCATTTCGTCTCTAAGATATGTTGCAATTCTTTGGGCACTATTGCTGTCCTCTTCGCAGTGAAAGACATGGCATTTGAGTTCATTAGAGGGAACACCAGGCGATGCCAGAAGAGGACTCTTTTGATTGACTTCGTGGTCACCACTCGACTGGTAATTATTTTCAGAGCTATCCTTTGCAACGAAAGCGAAGTCGTTGTTGTCATTTACGCCCCAAACTCTCAGACCACGGATTGGATGACAATTGAGTAAAGTATTGCCACTCATGTCATACAACTTGAGGCATGAGTTCTCAATCTTCAGCACCAGTTGTTGTGTTTGTCGGCCCCAACAGCGGACAGCATTGTTATCACCTCTTGTGCTCAACTCAATGATACACTTCTGGATGAGTTTAGAGCTCGTGGCGGAAGTCAATTGGCTTTCCTCCACTTCCATCCATCCCAAGGAGTTCACCAAAAACGTCAACACATTCTCTTCGGTCTGATTGGTGTCCCGTTTGTTTAGATCCATGTTTTCATCCAAACTCTTCAAATAAACCAATGAATCCCTTCGCGTCACGTCTGGTGTCTCTCCAATGGGTGCCTCCCTTTGGATGTGACCGCTGGGGATGTGCCAGAAGTAGGGCCCGCCTTCGTC